CTAGTAGGTACTTACTGAAGTTCACTCTTCAGAGGAGAACAGTTAGGTGTAACACCAAGGCAGAGGCCTGGGGGCCAGACCACTCTCTGCAGACTGAGAAGTTGGCAACTCTAACTGCTCAACTCAGAGTAAGGCAGAGCAGCCAAGCACAGCCTAAGCAGGGAGGTATACCTGATTAATGAAAGAAGAATGCCTCAGCAGCAAGCATTCAGGCCCAGCCTGCCGGCCAAGGGCTCCAGCCTGCATCCCACACCCTCCTCTGGCTGGAGAAGTAGGAGTTCAGACAGGAAGACTCAGCAGGAGTTATCCTGGGAGGCAAGGGCCCAAGCACTTCCAGAACATATCAGAATTTGGCCTCTGGTTATCGTTTTAGGAGGCAATAACACATTAAAACTGTGATCATGCTGAGAGCAACTAATTCGTAGTTCTCATCTAATCATTGAACTTACAAGAGAGCTAACCAATTTTTTCCCTGACCAGTACTAAAATGTAGGCCATTTCCACATTAGTACTCAATCTGAAAAGTCTTAGTAGTGTTTCATAAGAACACATGGAATTCTTGAGAAAGAGAAACATTCACGAGCTAAGAAAGCAAAGAGTTAGAAATATCCAGTAACCAGAAATTCAGAAGTCACGAGTAAGTTTGCCCAAAAGGTTGCTTACTCTGCCCCTGGCTCACTGAGACTGTCCACAATGAGAGCCGAGCTTTGGGTCTCAGAGGGGCATAATAAATAGGCTGTCAGCTCATAGGCTTAGCTTTGACCCAGCAACACTGCCATGTGGAACAATCAGAAGACCGGGAAGAGCTGGATCCCCCATGCCTTCCCTCTATCCTGGGGTGAGGGTGGGGTGGAAAGGGAAGGTCCTATTCAAAGGACTAGGGATTTGATTTTTTGACTCCTACCAGATCCATTTATCTTCTCTTAAATAACCATTTAAAAACAAAAACTGTATCAAAAACAGAAGGGAAAAAGAGCAAAAATCCATGCCCTTCTCTGGCTTCTAATTTCCAGATCTGTCCTAATTTTCTGGGAAAATGACAAAATTATTTCCATAACCTCAGCTGGCTCAGGGCAGATTCCAGCCCCAGTCTGCCTCTTGACTCCCTAAGGGAACGTCTGCTGAGCACCTCCAGCACACTCCGTGGCCTTGCACACGACAAAAGATGGCTAAGGTACCCTCAAGACCTCAAGGAGTTTGAGTACAGTGAAGGAAATAAGGCATGGGCAAAAGCAAGTGATGGAGGGGAAACAATATCTGAGCCCTGGGAGAGGCCCAGACAGGGTTGGGGGCTCTGAAGGGACAGGGAACCACTACCACTCTCAGCCCACGCTAGACCCTGGGCTGCAGCTCACACCAACCACCCAGCAAATACGGGTTCTGGAACAACTTCCCTTTGAGAAATGTCCCAGTGAATAGTTAGCAGTAGCAGTAGTAGTAGTAACAGTAATAACAGCAATAATAGTAGTAGAACAAATAACAATGATAGCAGTAGTAATATAAGTAGAAGTAGCAATGAAAGCAATAATAATCACATCCTAGAGTGATGAAAACTTCCTGTGTGCTACGTGCTTTCCACATATTATCTCACTTCATCTCAGAATAACTGTTAGATAAATACTACACTGTTCTCACTCCCCTTTTGTAGATGAGAAAAGCACAACCCAATGAGACTCTTTTATTCATTAATTCATCATTCAGTCAACAAATATTTTTTTTAAGTGTCTTCCACAAACCCAACACGACTCTAATAATAACCATATGAGAGAGAGAAGCCCTGACTAACCAGGGTGCATACACTCTGGTGAGATAAAGAACTCGCCCAAGTTCACTCAGTCTGTTAGCCTCGTGGAACCACGTTTTGAACGTGGTTGCAGTTGCTCTAACTGCAAAACCCATACTGCCAAACTCTCAACAAGCAAGCTTTTTCGACCCACTGATACTCACAATTATTATTAACACTAAATATCACATTTTCTCTATTATAAGATGTACCGTTTTTCACATTTAATGTTTCAAATCTTGCTGTCTTTTATAATAGATGTTGAAAGAACCAGCGAAGCCAGTTACAATATAGTTGACATTCTGTTCCAGTATGATTTAGCTAAATTCAGGTTACCTGATTACCAATTCAGTTGAATTTTCTGCATATGTTAACATTAAATGCAGTTGAATTTTAGTTTAAATTAAAATCTCTGGCTTACTTCAAATACTAAAAATTTTTACTATAATGCAATATTGAAAGAAAAATTAAAGGGAATAAAACTTACCAATGTCCTGGAATATCTCACATAATTTTCAAAGCCTAAAGGTTTAGCATTCAAATGATGAACATGTAATTGTTAAAAGCTTGAAGCTATTTAACTTCCAAAAATATGTGATCAATTAAAGGGAATGGAGCCATAGGTTTCACCAAAGAGAAAATGCAAATTAAACCTCACTACTCATTGCTAAGTCTCCAAATACACTGTCAACCTGAAAGTACAAAGGAATCAGTATCACGAGTACAATACTTTCTGGAAAGCCTCATATAATTCTGAAGTTACAAGTAACTTAAGAGAATCAAATATGACATAGAACTTCATTAATGTGAAAAATACTACATTACAAACTTCAATGACACAGAAAGAGCAACTCGTATGCGAATGAGAGCCTCTACAGAAAACTTCTAAAGTGTGTACATGTCATGTTTCTATTATAAAATATTCAATGGAGTCACTTAACTATCACTTGCAAAACTGGTACCATTATTGTTATCAACAGTGCCTTAAAACAGAGGATGATGGTAATTACACTGAAAGCACAATGTTTGCCTGACATTTATTGAACACCTGCCAAACACTGTATTTGATATTTTTGCAGTGATTTCTCGAAGTCACACACCTAGTAAGCACCAAGCTGAGCACAGACCCAGGTCTCCCTGAGTCCACAGCCCAAGTGGCTTCCAGACTACTATACTGCCTCTCCCTACTAATACCTCACCCCCACCCCCACCTGGCACAGCAAGAATAGATAAGCCCCTACCCCATAAGCTAAAAAAGCTTACTGTGACCTGAGTGCAGGATGGGCCTGCATAGATTCAAAGTATCAGGGTGCCCCTCTCAACCCAAACACCTCCACGTTGATCCTAATCCTGCTGCTTACATGACTGCTTCCATTTTCTTGAACTACACCTGTTTGAGAGGACATGCCTAAGGAGGCCCCAAACTGCCCAACAGCCCCAACATTCATATAACCAATCAAGTGAATGGAAGACTCCTTCAAATTGTCCCAACTTGGTAGCAAAACCCAGAAGACAATACACAGAAACAAAAGAATCCTCTTTTGCTGAAGTCAGGACAGGAAAGGGCCTATGGCCGGACCAGAAGCTTTCCTTCCCTTGGGTGCGCAGCTTCAGATCAGTTAATGGACACGGAGGATTCCCTGAACCTAAAAAGAGTCCATTTTGTTGTGCCAAATGCTCTGGGGATTTTCTGAAATCCTGGGGCAGTCCTCAGTTCCAATGATCAAAAAGTTCTCCTTGATCGAACTTTTGCAGGAAAATAGGGTGGGACTTGAGGTTTCACCCCATTCTTTGGACACAGCCTCAACTGCATTGTAAAATTCTTATCCTTGACTGTTCCCGGAGGAAAAGGACTCAAGCTTGGACACTAAGAGTGGAGTAGGTTAATTCTAGAAGCACTTATTGAGCATCTCAGAGGAAACAAAGATGAGTAAGAGTTGGTCCCTACCGGTAGGGAACTCACAGTTGAGTGAAGGAGGTAACACCAGTTCAGAACTAACTACAATGACAAGCAGAACGGGTGAGTGCTATCCTGAAACCTAGAGGAGGGTGGGGTTAATTACAGAGGCAAGGTCAACAGTAAGTTCAGCTTACATTGACTGAGCACCTACTAGGTATTAGGTCTCTACCAGGCATTTTACACACATTATCACATTTAACCCCCACAGCCACCCTGTGTAATATGTTCTATTACTGTCCTTACTTCACAAATGAGGAAACAGATCGAGAGGCATGGCATCTCACCCAAGGTCACAGAATTAATTTATAAACGCTAGAGGTGAGATCTGGACACTGCAGAGTAATGCCAAAGCCTATGTTCTTTTCAGTATAGTAGACCACAGGTCCCGGAGGAAAGACAATCTTCCTGGTGGAAGAGGAATCTGAGCCAGTTTAGAATTTAACAGGTGAAGAAGGAAAGGGAGAATCATCCAAGCAACAGATCAGTGAGAGGGAAGGCCTGGAGGTAAGACAGATCAGCACTGATGGGTCAGCTGAGCAATGGGTAGAAGCAGCTTCCAGTATAAAGGAAGAGGTGTGTGGCCAGTGAGTTAGGGGACTGGCTGTCAGGAGACCTGGCTTCTAGTCATGGGGTGGCCACTAGCTAACTATGTAATCTTCACGAGTTCCCATGTCCTCTGTGGACTTCAGATTGTTCATCAGTCAAAACTCCAACCCCTTTGGAGATGTCCTCAAAGGTCAGCACTGCTTTAAGTGCTCTGTAGCACAACAGGCCATCTTGGACAGTTATTAAGGCCAGGGGTCAAGGAGACCCCAGATCTGCAGTGACTAGCTGAGCGACCTTGCACAAGCTAATTAATGCCTGAGTCTCAGTTTTCCTCATGTGCAATGTGGGGACAGCAGCACCTGCTTCACGGTGCTGCGGTGAATGGAAGTCGAATGAAATGAAGAACATGAAGCACTTAGCACAGCGTGTGGCAAACTGTAAGTGGACAGTAATTGGAGGCAGTTTTGTCACCAATATCATCATCATCCTATTTCTTCCTTAAGGGTCCAGAGGGCGAATGTAGTGGGCATGGTACAGAAGATATTTTTTAGTATATGTACTGCCAAAGTGAGCACCAGAGGGCTTTTTTAAAAGGAGAAAAATTAAGTTCTGATTTTTCTCTGAAAAAGAAGAGATTTCACTGACCCACAAGTCCCTCCCATAACCACCTCCAAAGTGATGCCCCTATTTCACCAAAGGGCCATGCCATACCTTCTCTTCTGAAGAAACGGTCAGCTTGTCACTGGATATCAAGCTGCATACCTGGTCCAGACTTAGGCTAAGAAATTCTTCCCCCAGCATCACTTCTGGAAAGTGCTGCTCTGTTCCAAAAAAAAGCAGAAATTCAGAAAACAAAGTTATAACACACTCCAGCCCTTCCATGAACCAAGGCCACGACAACTGGTGGGATTCAGAGTGGAGTCCTGGCGACTGGGAGTTGGGAAGGCAGGAAAAACGGGGAGAGATAGCAAGGCATGGAGAAAGCATAGCCTGGCTGGAGAGAAGCTCGCCTTTTAATTCAGTACCAAAGGCATCTCGACCCCCCACCCACCCCAGTCTCACCCTCCCCGTGTGATTCTCTGTCCTGAACATAGACATAGATGAAAATGGGACAGAGCAATGTGAGGTTGTATTTTTTTCCCATGCTCCATGAGATTAATAACGGTGTTGAAGAAAAACCTCACTGGGACCTAGGCACTTAATTGAGCTCATTTCCCCTCAAGGCACAAGCTGGCAGAGTTGCAAACGGTGCCCCCTGCAGCTCAGCCCAACAAAAGTGGGTCAGAACTGCTGTGTGGCTGGGAAGTCTCTGGGGGTTGTAGTACAAAGTCAACATTAGAAGGTTGGCAGGAGGGGTCATCCTTTAAAGCCCAAAGTCAAGCCTACTAGATTGAGTCTCTGGTTTATAAGGTGGCCCACCTCAGCAACTTTCCATGTGTTGAGCTACCCACCTGGGCCCCCAAAATGGGAACAACCCACAGCAGCCAGGACTGTGGCGACTATAAGACAGAGGGGAATTAGGGCATAGCTAGAATGAGAAACACCCTCAGACCTGAGGTCCACACAAAAGAAAGGCCAGGGACAATTCCTACTCTGACATTTGCCCAGGCCACCATTCTGCTATTGCAGAGGCAGCAAAATGCCAATGGCTTCACCTCCTTGGGCCGCACTATCTCATTTGTAAAATGGGACAAGACTGGTGGTTTTGCCTCCCTCTCATTCTCTGATGATAAAGGATTTGTGAAAGCATTTGGCAAACATTTTCAAGGCGAGCCAGCTCCAGAGCCAGCTCCAAAGACGACAATTACTGGCAGATGTAGTGATGATAAGATCCCTTATCATTTGCCCCAGAACTTGTCCCTTTCTCAGTTCTCCCAACACCCTATACCATCACCCCAGGGAGCCTCTGTGCTCTTTGCCCTCCAGACATCAGGCCTCTTCCCATCTTCCTTGGTGGCCCCTCTCTGGCCCAGTAGTAATCATCTCTTGGATGATTAGAGGGCTATTCCACCCAGTTACCTGCTAGCTGATCAAGTGAAATTCAGAATCCATCCCTGGAATGCTACTGAAATTCAACTTTGTGCAGCTGCATAATGTAAATGAAAGCCAGAGCATACCAAGTCTCTCTCTCACATTCATCAATTTCATTAAAAAATACCAAATTTAAGATAGAAATAATTTTTAACTTATGTTGAAACAATTTTGCTTAGTATTTTACTCTCAAAGATTGAGTTAAGGGGCCTCGCTGGTGGCGCAAGGGGTTAAGTCTCAGCACTATGAGGCTATGGGAGCCACTGCAGCACAAGTTTGATCCCTGGCCAGGGAGATGATCCACATGGCACAGCAGACCTCTCCTGCCTCACCCACTGCTCCCCTCAGGAGTGTATTTCAGTGGCTCTGCCTGTTCTGCTCCCCACTCTCTCTGATGAATCCTCTCACTGACCCCATACCTCTGGCCTACACCACAGCTCTTGTATGCATAAATAAATAAACCTTTTTAAAAAATGATAACTAACAATATTTTTTAAGAGATTGAGTTATAAATAACCTTTCCTTTCACTAGAAAAAAAGGGGTTCCCACCTGCTCCCTGCCAGCCTAATGAGATGATCAAGTTCACAATTAAGCTTGCCTACCCTGAGACTGTGAATATTTGTTTAAAAAAAAAAAATTAAAATTTTTTTAAATTTATGTTTTTACATCATTGTTCATTTTGTAGAGTGTTTGAGTTTTCCTCTTAGGTGTTGTCCTCATAAAATTACCACCACCAAGATACCCATGAACAGTCACCATAGACTATTGTGCTCTTCCCTCCTCTGTTTTGATCCCTCTCACTCTCCTTCCCCGCTGCTGAATGTCTTGATTTATATTTTGCCTGCTAGTTTTGTCTCTTCTTTTTTCCTCCTGATGGTTTCCCTATGCTCCTCCTATAAGTGATACCATCCAATATATTTCTCTTTCCTTCTGACTTATTTCACTGAGGATAATCCCTTCCAGCTCCATCCATGTTGCTGCAAATGGAATAAATTTATCTTTTTTGATTGCTGAGTAGTATTCCACTATGTATATATTCCACATCTTCTTCATCCAGTCATCTTTTTTTGGGCTTTTACAATATGTTAGCAATTGTAAATAGTCATGCAATAAACATAGGAGTGCAGGTTTCCTTTTGAATTAATGTTTTTGTGTTCTTTGGGTAGATTCTTAGAAGTGGAATTGCTGGGTCATATGATAGATCCATTTTTAGTAATTTGAGGATCTTCCACACAGCTGTTCAAGTGGTTGGGCCAGTTTGCATTCCCACCAACAAAAGACAAAGCATTAAACATCAACTCCTTTATGAAGGGAAGCAACTGTCATAAAGTAAGTAGCTGGGCTTGCTTCTCTATAGGTGTAGGAAAACCAAAGTGACTCCATCTTGTATCAATACCATCTTTGGCCTATTACCAGTGCTTGCCCTTCCCTTGCAAGTTAGCCAACTTTCCCATTGTTTCTTTCACACATATTCTCCTGTACTAATGATCCGTATACAATACTATTGATCTCAGTAGAACAAAGATATATGTGATGTATTCCCCTGCACATCATCAGTCTTACATGAGAATGACCACAGGTACCAAGCAGAGTATAAGAACACCCTTGTCAGGGTGAATAGTGTGGGTCCTGCCTCCACCTGAAGCCCTGTCTGCTGGCTCTGGTGCCAAGGACCCTTGTATGTATGTTGCCCTTAAAATTTTTTAGTTGTGATTAATGGGTGTGCAAAAGAGCAATCATCTTTGGATGATGGGAAATCATTCTTCATCTGGAGGCTATGAAAATAACAGGACTACATGCCCAAGAAGTCTTCAGACCAGTCCCCTATCTACCAATAACACCCAAGAAACATCAGAGAGTGAAAGTAGTCACCACACCATGACAAAGTTCAGGACATGAAAGCTCCGTGGACAAGTCAAGGCTGAGCTCAGCCAAAGTTAGGCAAATATCCCTGTGGTGGCACATGAAAAAACGTTCAACATCACTAGTCATCAGGGAAACGCAAATCAAAACCACAGTGACATACCACCTCATCCAGTAAGAATGGCTCACATTAAAAAAAACAGAAACAACAAATGCTGGTGAGGATGTGGAGATAAAGGAACACTCTTACACTGGTGGGAATGTAAACTGGTCCAGCCACAATGGAAAACTGTGTGGAGGTTCCTCAGAATAGTAAAGATGGATCTACCACATGATCCAGTGATTCTACTCCTAGGCAACTACCCAAAAGACACAAAAACACTAATTCGAAAGGAAACCTGCACTCCTATGTTTACTGCAGCACTATTTACAATAGCCAAGATATGGAAACAACCCAAATGCCCCAAAACAGATGAATGGATCAAAAAGTTGTATATTTATACAATGGAATATTACTCAGCGATAAAAAAAAGACAAACTTATGCCATTTATGGCAACACAGATGGAGCCAGATGGGATTGTGCTAGTTGAAAGTAGTCAGAAGGAAAAAGATAAATACTGGTTGGTCTTACTTACATGTGGAATATAGAGAAACCAAACAAAAAGTCAAGAAATAGTCAAAACTAGCAAGCTGACCACAGAACTGAGGCAACCAGAAAAGGAGGGGCAGGAGAGGGGTGCAAACAGGGGAGGGATGAAGACAAATATGGTGATGGTTCACAGGTGGTGGGAAAACTATGGAGACTCCAACAATGTAAGAAATTTTTTTCATTAATTAATAAAAAAAAAAATCCCTGTGGCCCAGAGCCACACCAGCCTTCCCATGTTTATCTCTGGTTGACAAAAACTGACATTTGACGGAAGGAAAAAAGTGAAGATAATAGGTGGAATTGAGAGAATCTAATTCTGGGCTGTTAAAATTAATTTCCCACAGCTCTTAAAACTGAAGTAGATAGTTTGGATTTTGGGAAGGAAGAAAAAGAAAGAATAGTGACATAGGTGGTTTGGTGAGCAAGCCAGAAATTCTCAAAGGTAATTCAAAGCAGAAAGCAGTCAGCCCTCTAGCCCTCCTCCACTCTCAGGGGCACTGCAGGGCTGGAATCTAGAGCCCTTCTTTCTGGACTGGGCTCTCTCTTTGCCCATTTGGAACCTCCCACCGAAATCCCTTCAGAAATCCTCCCAGGAAGCAAGATCTGGCAGGGATGGGGCAACAAGGGAGTTAAAGGGCAGCAGCTTCTCACCAGGGCTGGCATCCAGGGACCCTGGAGAGTTAAAGGACAGGAACAGGAAGAGACCAAGAAAGAAGGGAAAGAAGACAACTCCCTCACTTTACCCTTCAGTGTAGGGAGATAGGGCTGAGCCCCCAGAGTCTCCTTTCTGGTAGCAATACTCCAGAGAACTGGGATAGAAAAAATAGGAACAGGATGCTCTGGTAACTCCACTTCCTGAGAAATAGGAGTTCCCCAACAGACTTTATACTCAAGTCAGGCTTCTTCCCTGGCATATCCTGGAAAGACCTCACTCTGTTTCCCGAAGATAACACCCTGAAAATCAGCTTCTGCCTTTAACACTGCTTGTTTGCTTTCAGTGTATTAAGGGAGGGTGTAGTGAAGAGCACTGGCTAAGAGTTCATTGACCAGGGTTGAGCTGGGTTCAATCCTAGCTCCACCTTTTATAGTCACTTCTTTCCAGGTTTTGGCTTCGTCATCTATGAAATAGGATGTGTGTTTAGGTTCTTTTAAATCTCAAGGACTATAATATGTATTAGTGTATTCTGAGAGCTTTAAGGAACCATGTTGAAATGAAAACGAAAAATACCAGCCTGTTTCTACTTCACGGCATCCAATTCTGTGGGCAGCAGTGCTC